AATAAACTTGTACACAAGTTTAATTAACTTCACACGTTATATATGCAAGTTGGGGTTGACCCACCGCTTACCATTCCCCCCCCCCCCCCACACCTCTCCCTATGCATATCCATATAAAGGTATGTGTTTGTGTGTGTGTGGAGTCTACAGACCCCAGCGGACCCTACACACAAACGAAGTTCTTCTCTCTCCACTTGTATGAACATGAACGGTATTTGGTCTATTGCCATCTCGCTCCAACGCACAACACTAATATTTTTACGAGTTTAATTTGAAAAACCTTTAAAGGTAATTAACGTGTATTTTTGGCAGTTTTATTACATGTTTTCTGCTTCTGCCGCTGCCGCTGCCGCTGCCTTTTCTTACTCACTACTCAGTGGCTGCCAGGCGCCTTGCATTGGTTGAGTAATATGACAAGAGATACGAGTAGCGTCTGTATTTGTTTTACTTCCCATTGGCGGGGCGGAGGGTGGCAAGGGGGGCCTCTAACAAAATACATTTCATGTGGCCAAAAGTGTAAGTCAGATACATACATACATACATGTACATATGTATGTACATGCAAGCGCGCGGAGCGTATTTAAAAAATTACTTAATTGTTGTCATAAAGTGTCGACTTTTCGTCGACAGCGACGGCGACGACGACGTCGACTGGACACAGTAAGTGTAGAAAGTAAACGTACTTAGTCTGTACAAGTATTTCTAAAGCATACTTACAGTTTTAAAATATAAGAACTTAAATACTGAGATGTGTGTAGAAGATATATACGCTCTGTTTTCTGCCAGGTAAGTATATTTTGATTGCATTGAATAATAAGGGGATTTACGAATTAAGAAGGAAGTCCTTTAACACTATTTATTATATTATACATTATTATACATTAAAATGTTTTCTCCGACATTATTGAAAAAATGTTTTGCTTTCTTAATTTTTTTAAAACGTATATATTTACAAGTATATAAGAATTCCATTGGCTACATATGTACAAGTATTACACCCAAGTTCGTAACTTTTAGATATTAGATATTAGATAGATCACATTAGATATTTTATATACAAAGTAATACCTTCACTTTAATATGAAACCACGGCTTATAAGAAGTACTTTTAGTTTTCTGCAATTAGATAGAGAAATACTTAGCAAATAGCATTGTGAAAATAACATTTTTATTTATAGTGGATAGAGTTGGAAAAGATGAACATTTTTTAGATAGAAGAATTCGAAATATATGCATAAATACAAGCAAAAACTGTCTTACAAGGCAGAAGAATTCGAAATGATTGTTCAGATATTAATGATACATAAAAAGAAATACCAGGATAATAGTAATAGTTTCGAATACTGGACAAACTATGAACTACTAAAGGACAACGTGCCAAATGCAGATTGCACAAAAAAATTGGCTGAGAATACTGAACAATATTTTAGTTCAATTTTCTTTTTGTTAAAAGAAGCAGCATATAAGAGAAAAAATAGAGGCAGCAAAGGAATTGGAGAAAGACAGAATAAAATAAAGGTAAAAAACACCATAAGTCTCCCTCTTCTAGCGCTGAAGCATCACATCCGAGATAAACTTTTAATCTAAACTGTACTTTATTTTGTACATACATACAAATATGTGTGCTACACGAGTTCAAATCTCAGGCGTACGAATAGAGCCAACAACAACAACAAAAGCAACAACGACGACGTTGTCAGCTAACAAAACAGTAATAATAATACTAACTGAAAACTGGTTGTTAATAATAATATTTTATTATTATTGCATTACTTGGTAATGATTAATTTTAAAAGGTTGCTTCAGTTTCACAGACAGAGACAGAGATGGGGAAAGGTGGTGCGAAAGAGATGGCAATAGTTGACAAATGAACAAAGATACAAATGCCAGAAAAAAGACCGTGTGTATGTAGAAATTTTGTTTGCTTATTGGGTAATCGGTGGACAAAGGTTTTTAGATATACTTGTACATACAAGCATGAACATTTGCCCGTACTCGTACTTGTACAAGTATTATAAAAATGGATTTCTCAACCTATTCGAGCAGCTATGTCGTACCAGTAAGATAGATTTTCGACGAGTCCATATTAAATAGAGTTGTTGGATTATGCCACAGCTCTTTATAATTAGTTGTCCTTCAAACGTTGGAGCAGGACCTGAGAATTTAAGGCAGTAGAAACCACCAAGCTCTGTTCTTCTGCATTAATATGTATTATCAAATTTGGCATTGTAGAGTTTTTTTTTAAAATCATCAAAAATAATTGTTTTGCATAGCCGAGAGCACTATACTAGTATATTTTAAAAATTATTCCTGTATCCTCCCTGTAGATGATTTAGATGCGTATGAAATATTCTAAAGGAATTGTTGATAAGATCAAAAAGTGGCAAATAAAAGATTGGTCTGTTAAAAATTATTGAAAATAAAAACAAAGTTTTGCTCAAACTATAAACCGAAAGCACTATTGTGTGACCATCTTTTCTTAGAGCAATAATCAGAGAGCATTATGTTCTTTCTAAATCTCTGAAGAACTTCTGTCGAATGAATCTTCTACGAATCTCAATCACTTCTCTCAGGGCAGATCCTATTTGAAGGTATGTTGTGCTAGGGATATCTAGTTCTAGACGATAAGATTATTTTAAAACATACATCATTATTTTATACAGCTGACATAGGAGCGATCGGTGTAAAAATCACTTTTAATGAGATAATTTTTTGGTTTATTTAGCATTCTTATAAATTTACTTTACTATTTATTTAAGCTTTTATCGAAAACGGTAATCTAGCGGGAAAAAGGGTCAGGTCCTTCATATTTTTCTTGAGAGTCGTTCCGAAATGAATATTATATAAAAACCTTATTATTCTTCTGATATTTCCATTAATTTTTTTAACATATGCTTTGGGAGGTCTAGGAATATTGAAAGATTCACTCATGTTTTCCTTTCGCTTTCAACGTCTATACTATTTTCTCCTCATTATTCAATTTGCAATTTCTGCCTTAATTTTTGAAATTTAAAGTCTCATTATCTATTTCGAGAACAATTGAAATTGCGGAAGTTCTATATTGGATAGATCACCTATAAAGATAATTGTTTAAATATCATCTTCACTCCAGCACACTCCGTCGTCTCGACAACTCCGACTTCAATTAGTCACTGATGTCGCTGATGATGATAATGATGATGATGATGATAATAATGATAATGATGATGTTGCCTGCCTGCCTGCCTGCCTGTGTCTTGTCTGAGGTCTGTGGTTGTCGATGTTCTGAAAGACATGCGGGTTTTGAGGCTTTGGGTTTGGCACTTGAATTGCATCATAAATTCAATTCAAATCAAGTTGAAGTCTTACTCATATAGTACATACTCGTCTGCGGATATATGGACGATATATCGTACTATATACTCGTGTGTATGTGCGTTCGTTGCGCTCAACGATTGTTTGTTTGATTGTGTGTGTATGTGTGTGTTTTAATTGAAATTTTGTGATCTTGCCTCGCAGTACATTTTGTTTTTGCGCTTTAATCAGGAAGTTTTTAATTGCGGCCTCCAACGCCTTGCCGCACCCCCCACAAACACAGCCCATTATAGTATTGTGTGGCGTCATTTAATTGAATTATTTGAAACGACTAAAAACGAGAAATCAAAAGATTTTTTGTTTATCTTGCCGTGCTCTGAGTTGTTGTTCTTCTTCTTGTTGTTGTATGTACTTGTATGTACAAAATGTTGAACGTTGTATCGTCTTAATATTATTATTATTTCTTATTCTTTGGTTTTCGGTCTCTCGTATATATAGTATGTATGTATGTATGTATGTGTGTATGTACGTGTACTCGTATAATTAATTTTTAATTTGACTCGCAGAAATTGGGTAATAAAAATTGTAAATTGTAGCGGCGACCCACACTTCGATTGTTTGGCAGACTGGCCACAAGGCAAAGAAAGCTCGGGAAAGAAAAAAGGGAAAACGCGTCGCCTGTGCTTTGTTGTTGTTTGCCTTTTTGTGCCGCTGCCACAGCCGTTGCCTTGGTCTTGGACTTGGTCTTGGTCTTGGACTTGGATCTTACGTCTCGTCTCGTCTCGTCCCGTCGCGGCTCGGCCATTCCCTTCCACTAAGAATCGTACTCCACTTTTCTCCTGCACTGTTCAATGTTTAATTTGAATTTTTTTCCTTCGCTCAACTGTTTCGATTTCTTTGCCTTTTGCTGGCTTTTGTTGTTGTAGCTCTGCATTATTAAAAAAGTAAACAGAAACTTCGGCACCCGCCCCCTTCGCCCCACCACACAATTCATTTGCTTGGTTTTTTTTCTTGCTGCTGTATTTTTTTTTAACAAGGTACTCGTCTCTCTCCCCTCAGCCTCTGCCACTAAGAAGGCGCTGCCAGCTGCTGCCCAGCACGCAAAAATTATTATAATTTCCTTTCTTTCTTTCAATTTCTTTCATTTTATTCGCTGGTTCTGTACTTTTTCGTTTCTGCTTTTACTCCTTTAACTTTAACTTTGTGCCTTTGCCTCTGGTAATCGCCTTCGATATGCCTGCTATATAATTTCGCCCAGTTCGACGGAAACGGAAACATACCGAAAATGCGACGCGTTGCAGCCACCACTCCCCCACCCCCCTCCTCCTCAACCCATTCCAAGCAGCTTGTTGGGCACCCACTGTGTCTGTGTGTGTGTGTGTGTACGCTGTTGTTATTTTTCTGGTGTAACAATAAAATTTTTGTATCCTTTTTCTCCGCCTTGCTGCTCTTGTTGTTGTTGCTGTTATTGCTAAAGAAAATCAAAAGCTACAATATGCCGCCCGACAATGTTGACGTCGACGCCGACGCCGACGCCGACGTCGATGTCTTGGTTTCTTTTTTTTTTTGGTTTTTGTGTTGTTGTTTTTTTTTTTTGTTCTGGTCGCCGTCGCCTCCATCGTCTGCTACTGTAGTTAAAAACTGAGGCGGCGGCCAAGACGCCAAACTGTGGGCCACAGGGGGAAATACAAATTTGTACGCCGCTGTTTTGCTTTCATACACTTTTTTATTTTCATACACTTTCAATAATTTCTTGCTTTAGCCCATTGGGCGGGCGCTACAATTGGCACGATGGCTAGTTCGATTGCCAGAAGTTAAATCTTTCTAAGGCTCACGTTTCTCAGTCAAGACAGGATCGCTTTTCTAGTTACAACTGCAGCTTGGCTATCCTAAGAAGACGAATGTCTTCTCACGCTTCAACTGAGTGTTAATCGCTTAACTAATCTCAGTTAAGTTTAGGGCTAAATTTTTAAACAAGTATGAAACGTTTAACTAATCTCAGTTAAGGCATGAGACATTCTCTTATTGGCTGGTTATTAAACTCTCTTGGCTCTCAGCTTTTTGGCTAAGCTAAGAAGGTTCTTTGGTTGGTTGATGCGATCGTTTGGTTTGGCACTTTTTTCCTAGAGCTAGTGATATAAAGACTCATAATTACTGAGATAAGATTGTCTATTCACTGTCTTTGTCCGTTTTATTCCCTTTCTCTCCCAACAAACTCCCCCCGTCCCCCTCTCCCACTCACTCTTTCACCTTTGAAAAGAGTTTTTTTCTTACAATTCTCTCTTAGCTGCAGAATTGACAAATTTCTGTAATTCTTCTCTCTCCGATTGAGGGCACTACTTAGCATAAAGACTTTTTAATGGCTGCCTGCAGTGCACATCCAAGTCGCCTTAACTTGGTCGCCATAAACTTGGCTAAGGTTTTGTGCTCCAGTCAAGTCCAATGTTTTGTTTTCCCATTTTTAATTTCGGTGTAATTCTGCACCCCTTTCGGTTGCCTTTCTACTTTTGTACTCGAAGGGGCGTTTGTTGCTATTATTATTTACTGTAGCCTGCCTGCTGCTTATCGTAATTCATTTGCCTCGCTATTATTTCTTTTTTTTTGCCACCCATTTCTTAGCCCTATTGTGAATTAATTTCAATATTGAATCCTTTTATAGACTGCACGTGTCTTGGCTGTTGTTGCTTGCGTTTTTGTAGCCGCCAGCTGTTGACCGGACTGGTTGTTGTTGTTGTTGTTGGTTCTGTTGCTCCGTCGAAGGAGATACTGAGAATTTGGCTGACTGACTACTTTCTTGGTCAATAGCCAGCCGTTTCATGCCAGGCCATCGCCAAGTTTTCATAGCCATCCAGGGAGTCCGAGTCGCAGTCATAGAACTCTCCGTAGTTGCTGCTCAGTCGCCTCTTCTGTTTCTGTATATGCTTTATTCGATGCATCAGCATCGAGAATACCCGGGGCGGCAACATCTCCTCCAGCACATTGAGCAGTCGCAGAGGTTCCATGGTGACGAGCAAGGCATTGGCATAGTGGGTAACACCATCCGTATAGTTGTAGCTGCTACAGAGCGCCTCTCCCAGCATCAGCTCTTGCCGAAAGTAGCTCTCCAGAGCGGCGTAATCGAATGCCGGCCATCTGCGTTCCGGTTCCTCAATCACCTCAGTCATCTGCTCCTCATATGTGGCGGCACATTCTTCCACCGAACACGACTCCAATGGTTCATCTTCCGGGCCATTATCAGTATTACTGCAGTTGCGACGCTCGTGCACTTTTCGCCTATAGTTGGGATCCATGCGTCGTTGATAGTCGTACCACACGCAATAGCCCAGCATTGTGGCCATGCACACCATGGCTAGGACTACCCACGGCATGGTTTCCAACTCTGATCCCAAAATGAAAGCCAAAGTGTAGAGAGGTTTGGTTGGAAATATGACGTTTACTGAACTAAAAATTAAATTTAGGCCTAGATTACTGGGTTACTCCAATAAAAGCGGCTCTAGGACAAACAATTTGGACTAAACAAAGTAAATCAGTTGTTTGAAATATGGCTTTGTTATTTGAACATCAAATTTTCAAAACAAAAAATATTAAAACTTGGATTGCTTATCGCACTTATTTAAACATTTATGAAATCGGCTCTAGAACACAAAATTTGGACACCGTCTTGACTAAACAAAGTTAATCAGTTTTTTTTGAAATCTGGCTTTGTTATTTTAACATCAAATTTTCAAAACAAAAAATATTAAAACTTGGATTGCTTATCTCACTTAATTAAACATTTATGAACAACACCTTCTGTGTTGTTATTTTAAAAGAAAAATTTCAAATAAAAATTAAAAAACCTTGGGTTCCTTAACTGACTTATTAAAACAATTTTGTCCCTACAGTTATATCAAGCCTTTGTTTGGGTTTAGTAGCTCTTTTACTTGGCCTGATCCTTGCACTCATATAGACGGACATGGCTATATCGATTTATTTATATGCTTTCTGGGGGCTGTCATGAGCTCCAAGGGTATTATTTCCTGGCTCTTAATCGGACTTTTCTCAAAATTGAACAAATATTGATTTAATTCCACTATTTCCTGTAGTTGACACTTTTGTGCGCTTAAGCTGAGCTTCCTAAAAGATCCCATAGATGTGTATGTATGTATGTATTTAGGTGGAAAAAAATACAAATTATCAAAAGTTACGGAAGTTGACATAAAACAAAATCCAAAACCCAAAAGAAACCAAAAATACAAGAAAAAGCCTAACTCGAAAAACAAACAACGACAACTACCGTACCAGTCAAGCGGCTAAACAAAAACAACAACAACAACAGCAACAACAACAAAAATGATACACAAGCACATGGAAATTAAAAACGAAAAGAAAAAATTAAATTAAATAAAGTGAAAAAAGTCAGAGGCAACAACAATAACAATAACAACAACACGCAACAACAAACAGACGCTGAACGGCGCGAAAAATAGAAAAGACATTCACTGTAGTCGATGCTGGAAGACAGTTGTTCGAGAGCGTCCCTAGCCCCCAAGCCCCCAAGCCCCCGCTCTCCCCCCTCCTCCACCCCTTTCCCCCTCCACCCTATCCAACACAGCACTACGATCATCGCTCGTCTCATCACCTGCTTGCTTTTAATTGCACTAAAAATGGAGTAATGATGGGCAACGGTGGATCGTTGGGGAGAGAAGGTGGTCGGGAGGAGGGGGGTAAGAAGGTATGGAGGGGGTCTCTATGTTCGGTTTTCGGAAGTTGGCATTTTTACTTAGTATTATGTACTATTATTGTTATTATTTTAGTTGCTGTTGTTGCGGCGGCTTTAAACAAACAGAAAGTTGCATGCTGCTGACATTTTGGACGAGTGCTGGTGGTCGGCGGTAGAGGGCGAGAGGGGAGATGGGGAGATGGGGGCCAGAGCCACCTTTCTACGCAACCACATCCGGCGTTTGTCTTCGTGTGCGTGCTGGAATTGAATGTGTGAGAGTGTGAGTGAGTGAGAGACTGAGAGACTGACTGAGTGAACGGGGGCTCCCACACGTGATAAGCTGTATAAGATGTGGCCCGAAGGTACTCGCACACTTTGGCCAAACATACATAGCTTGACGAAATAGACCCGCAACGGGTGCAAGAGAAAGTTTCACTTTGGGTCAAATGCAGCATCCTGTGATGAGGCGAACGGGGTAGAGCGACATTAAATTCGACTACTTATAACTAAGGTTATGTGAATCATATCAGTACATATAACAGACAACTGAAGTTCAATCTAATACTTATATCAATCGAAAATAAATTTGTTAGTTTAATCTGCAAATACTCCGCTTGTCTGATCTCTGAAACCCATAAGCACCCTAATTTCGAAGCATTCCGATGCATTCCCTAAGCAATAGAAGAGTAGTTGCTATTGAAACAATTTCATTGATTCCAATATCGGACTATTATACTTCTTGCTTATACTTCTATGCTTACTATTAATAATGTATTTATAATAAATTGACGTTTTTATATCAGTAGCCGTGGCAGACCACATGTTATAGGTGCATGATGAGAAGAGTTTTTTTTGTAGACATGCACGTCAGTCTGCCCGCCCGTCTGTATGTATGAACGTCGATACAATTTATATCATAATAGCTAGGGACATCCAACTAGGAATGTACACTTGTCTTATCGATATGCAGAGCAAGTTTATTACAAGACATAAATAAATAAACAAATAAACCGAATGAGTGATTGTTGAAAAGGACTCGCAATTATAAAAATTCCACACAAATTTGAACGCTTAACTGTGCGTACTAATGCTTAGTAACTGATTGTGGGGCCAATTGAATAAAATATGGACAGCTTTATTATAGCTTTACATTAATTCTTAGCTAGCCGGTTGGTAAATAAAATTCTCCCCATCAAGTCGGAGCCGTTTATTATATATTATTGTAAATTGGGTTTGATTTTTCCGATTTAGGCTTGGCTTTTTTAAACCTTTTATATTGTCTATGTAAGCACATAAATAATTAAATAAATAAACTAGCTTAAATCACTTCCTTTACACGTAGCTCGAAGACATTAATGAGAATCTAATGGACAATAGTAACGACCGACCAGATTTCGAATGAAGTCAACTATGTACAACATTCTGTATGGCTCTTTAATTGGAAAACGAAGTAAATATTCTGTGAATTGCAATGATCCATAAAATGCTTGCCTTTGATAGTAATACGTAAAGCTCAGAGGCATTCGCGTATACAAGTACATGCATACATACCTATGTATGTACATACAGCCAAGGGCGTAGGCAGCTTTTACCAAAGGGATCCATTTTAAGGCGAAATAATGCGTCATAATAATGAACGTGTGGTCGACTTTATATGACAAAATTTTTTCTACGGCGTTGCCCCCCCCCCCCCCTGCCTACGCCCTTGCATACATCCATACGTATGGAGGCGTCTTATTTTTAGTGCCCATTGTTTAATAAAATTCGCATGTCGTCGAATTTGACATACGCCTGTCAAAGGCTGGAAATTACTTTTTTTTTTGTTTTTTGCCGCTGCTTCTGGGCCCTAATAATACATACAAGTATAATATTAGGATTTTTTTCGCGCTGCTTGCATAACATTTTATTTTATTTCATTTAATTTTGTATTTTTTTCTATACTAGTCGCCAGCACCTTGGCAGCAGGTCGAGGGTCGCGCTACACCAAAAAAAAAGAAAAAAGAAGAAAGAAATGAACATGACTCCGGGCCCAGGGCTGTGACTGTGAATGTTTCTGCGACTGCGACTATGGCTTGGCTTAGGCTTAGTCAATCAATCATCAGTCACATTTTAACAGCAACAGCGCCACAGTCTCTGTCGCAGTCGCTGTCGCAGTCACCGCCGCGGTCGACGGCGTTCTGCCAACGTAACATTCAAATCAATCAAAATTCTACGCCATCAGAGTCATCGTCATCGTCATCCTCGTCGCTGCTGACGTGTTCGCTATTGTTGTTGTTGCTGCTGCTGCCACCGACGTCTAACAGTTAAAACGAATTGGCACTAGCAACCACCTAAGCCACCCATCAGCAACATTTCTCTGCTTTTTTCCATTCCATTCCTTGCTTTCTTATGCAAAACAAAAAACCTAAATATAATTTTTCATCGAAAATGTGTAATAGAGCGCATGTGTGTCTGTGTGCGTGTGTGTGTGTGTGTGTGTGTGTGTGTGTGCGGGTGTGTGTGTGTATTTGTAGTGCATGTTGATGAAGTTGTTGAGCTCGCAAACTTCTATGCCATATAATGAATAATGTGCGACTGCCCTTGTCGCTTGTCGTCGTGGGTCCTGGGTCGGGGGTGTAATGTTCATATGGCGTGCAGGAGCAGTGAAACCATATGCCACATACGAGTATATATCCAATACCAATGCAGTATATGCTCGATATCGCTATTATGCAGGGTGGAAAGGAGTGGCAGTACGATGTAATTGTACCTCCCACTGAGCTTTTGTTTTGCTCCTTCCAGATCAATTTCAAGCCCAAACGCTGGCATCTCAGATATGCCGTTGAGTTGTTGATCGTTTCTTTTTTTTTAATATGACAATGTTCTGTTTTTCTGAATCAAAGCAAATTTCTTTGGCAGTTAATTTTCAATTTCTATGTACTTGCATAATTGGTTGTATTTGTGTGCAAATAATTGGCCTGTCCGACCGAAAATCTCTATTAAGTCTCCCTCTTAGATGGGCGATCACTACGTTCAGAATTATCTTATTCTGATTTCTTGGTTGGGTATGGTATGGTATGGACCCCCCTTTCATAGTTTTCTTTAGGACGAATGCATTTCGTCACTGTGTTTTCTTTTTAAACGGCTATTGGATATAAAATATTTAAAAGAAAGGCCAACATCGGGATACTTCTAGCAGGAAGATTCGTTTCTTCAAAAATATGGTTACTAAAATGTTAAATAAAATTTATCTTCATGTCTTGTATGTCTTATGTCTTGTACAGCTTTATAGAGCTTAATAAAAAAATTTGAATGATTCTGTTAGTTTCTAAATTGTTTTAATTATAATACTATAAGCAGAGCTTATTTGTTTGACATTATTTGAAAGGTAGAAAGAATGCATAGGATTAGGAATCAATATTATTTCCGTCTATACCTAGTGCTTTCAATTATAATTTCTCAACCTGCTCAAATAAAAATATAAAAAAATTGGTGCAACTTCTATATCTCTGAGAGAATTGGCATTGTTTTGAATTTAATAGAATTATAAATTGAATATGCTTGTTCGATTATTCGAAGCACCTTTTCAGGTTTATGGTAAAAAACAGCAATGTGAATTACATTTTATTTGTTTTGTTTCTAATTCATAGTAGGCCGAAGTCTTCACAGAGCAGGCTTTGAGTTTTGTGCTCCTCAAATGCTGTTTGCCCCTAGTTTTTGTTTTGGGAGTTTCATTCTACTTTTTGAACTCGAACTGTACAGATCAAAATTTTAGTAACAAAATTTTTTCAAAGAATTCCCTTGTTAGAAACATATATTCTAAATTCAACATGAGTTTATTTAAGTCTCTTAAAATGCCCAGCACTCTCAGTCGACCCACTATTGTGTTAAAGAGATGCAGCCAGAAGCATTGCAGCTCTGCGGTGGCCCTGAACAAGCTATCGGCAGTGGCCCGATTCGCAGCATCCGCCATATCTATACCATCGGAGATGGAGCCCTGCCAGATAGTCCAGCAGCGCACTGTGGATCGTGAGTACATTAAGTCGAAACGGAACGAGTTCGATCAGAGGCGGCTGCGACGAGATCAGCACCAGCAGCAATTGAAGCAATTGATGTGTACGCGTCCGGCAGAGAATCGCATGCCACGGCTTCCGTTTGTGAAGACCCCGCAATACCCATTGGGGTTTCCACTCGACAATCGCTACGCTAGCGTGGAGTCTCTTTTGGCCAAGACTGCAGATCCCAAGCAGCTGGCGCTTGAGGTTATTGAGTTGGCCCGAGAAATCGTATTCGAGAAGGACAGACACGAGACTCTCATGCGCTCCTACAAGCAACTGAAGGATCAAGTGAAAAAAACTCATTAAAAGCAGGTAATTATCAATATATTCGTCTGTATTGTATTCAAATATATTCGGCATCCACTATCCTTGCATCGTTGCTCCTCAGAATGCAAAATGTACATACACCCATCCATCATCCATTACCTCGGGCGTGCGAGGGTGGAGCCCAAGGGGGCTTCGCTCGCTGTTTGGGTTTCTGTTGGAAATGGAGCCTCGTTCTTCGTCTGTAGGAGTGAGGAAGTGGCTGGATAGACCCAAAGTTCGTCAAACGTCAATTAATCTGTTGAGAAGTGGAGGGACTTTTTTCTGGACTTAACTGATATCGTTTTGAATTTCAAAATATTTTGTTTGTCCAAATTAAAAGCAATACTTATAATATAATACAAAGCCTATTATTTCTTAAATGCATTAAGGTGTCTGTCTACCTTGATATGGGAACGGTTTCAGAATATTGTCACTAAAACTATGGAAATAACTGAGTCTAGAACATAATTAAATGCATTGCAAATTGCATTTTCTAATAGCGGGCCTCAAGATCTACTCAGAACTGGAAGTGAAAAAGAAAATTAATTATAATCATTATTATTATTATTGAAAAAGCCTGAAGGGTTGCTCTGGGTATTTATATTCTTTTATATGTATCAAATTTTGTGATTCAAGATTAATTCTAAGTTACAAATGTTAAAAAAAAAAATAAATAATAAATAATTATTTCTTTTCAAGTCTTCAACTAAAAACAATACCTATAATATAATACAAAGCCTATTATTTCTTAAATGCATTAAGGTGTCTGTCTACCTTGATATGGGAACGGTTTCAGAATATTGTCACTAAAACTATGGAAATAACTGAGTCTAGAACATAATTAAATGCATTGCAAATTGCATTTTCTAATAGCGGGCCTCAAGATCTGTTTATTAGTGGAAGTGGCTTCATTCAGAAAAAGAAGATTAATTATAATCGTTATTATTATTAAAACATTTGTTATTTTCCTTTCGAGTATTCAACTATTTAATGAAATGCAGTTTCCAACTACGAAATATCGTGATTGCCAAGACACAATCACAATAGCACTTTTTTCCAACACTGCCAGCAATAATTGCAACAGGAACTGATTTAAAAAAAAAAAGAACACTGCAGCGAAAAATGTGACACCGATGATGTGAAGATCACGACAACGACAACGACGACGACGACGACGACGATGATGAGCTTGTCTCGGTTAGCTGGTGGCTGCTCCAGCTCGCCTGTGGCGCGCTGATGACTTGATTTGAAATTTGAAATGATATTTTAAGAAACTAATGCCGACATAGCCATAGTTTTGCGACGACAGCATTAGCGGCGGGCATTCGTTCCTGGCATCCCCTTTTGTCCGGCAGAGGCCTCTAGAAGCGTTGTAGGCATGTTAAATGTCATTTAATAGTTGACAGTTGCACTTGCTGTAGTAGTTGTTGTTGTTGTTGTTGCTATGATTATTGCAGTTTATTTTTTGTATCTACAAAAATTTATGTGTAGGTGGTTTTAAATTTATGTCGTTGTCGCCGCCGTCGTTGTCATCGTCACTCCCCTGCCCATCGCTATCGCCAGCAGCATCGCCAACAGCAACAACAACAACAACAAAAACAACGGGAACAGCAATAGCATCACCATTTGCCTTCGTTTTAGTCTCCTACATCTTCATTTGGATCTTCATAGTCGTCGTCAGTTTAGCAAACCGAAACAAGTTGCGAAAAATTCTTTTGAATTTGGTTCGTTTTTCTTTAATAAAAGTAAATTTTATTGCTTGCACTAAAAATGTGCGATGACGACGACAACGGCGACGATGATGATGTTTATAATGCTTATGAACAACATCATCATGATTATGATGATGATGATGCTGATAGAGCTGATCACTTGCTTATTGAAAACATCCTGTGCGCCAGATTCTCAAAATGGGGGGCAATTCTTCAAACATCTAGTTCATTTATTTATTTAATCTCGTCAGCAACGTCAGCAAGTAAGGGCTGTTAAAATAAGTAAAGAAGTACATTAAGTTATAATATGAACATTTCAAGATTGGAAAGCTTGAATCTGAATCGAATAAGTAACGATAATATTCACCTTTTTTTTTGCCATCCGGCCAGCTCGCTTCACAGCCCCAACAAACAACTAAAATCCGCAATAAAACATAAACAACAAAAGTATAAAAAGGGAAGAGGGAAACTTAATTCCAATTAATAGCTGGTTAGACTCTAGTTCACAAAAAGCGAAATCTCCAGCCAGCTGTGTCAGAGAATTCCAAGGGAATGGCTAAGAAGGGACGATTTTAGAAAACAGAGAGATCTCTCTGTTGACAGTAATTGATAAAAATCATGTTGCGGGCAAGATTAAAGGGCAATAGTTTCTAGTACAACCTAGAAGAGTACATATATGACCAATAATCAGCAAATGGAGAAAGACAACACCAAGGAGAGTCCTCCGGACTGTTAAAGATGGGAGATTAGGGTTAGCTGGCAAACGCAGGTTTGGATCACAATTCCAGTCCCAATGCTGTTGAAACGCATGAGCATGTCAGGACCTACTTAAAAAGTAGTAAGAAGTTTCGAAGTGTATGTGAATTGTTAAATTCTTTTGACCAACATTATATTTAAATGGAAATCAGAATAAAAATGAACTCCAAGATCTGCAATCTGAACTTAACATTTAATGCAACGCATTATTAAAATATACAATTAGTTGAATTTATAAAGGATCGATATGACAGGCCTAGAAATATTTAACGCTTTGAGTCCTGCTTTTCAAATAAGACGACATTCCAGTCAAAAAAGAGCTTCACAAGGTCAAACGCCTTACTAATGGCGGTGCAGCCAGTAAGTCCAAAATATGGAAAATTGGCAACACGACAATAACCCAGAAGCTTGGCGAGCGATCTTTGGCTTTGGCTTCGGCGTTGGCTTTAGAAAGTTTTCGGTTTTGGCAAATCATAAATGCGACTATCAAAAATGGCGTCGGCGGTCATGGATCACAGCACCACAGACTTGCTTTGACTTGTCTTGACTTGGCCTGGGCTTGAAAAGCAGAAAAAAAAAACACACACACACACAAGCTGAAAATATTTAAATATGCCAGCGTCGCGTACAGTTGGGCTGGATAAGCTGACTCAGGCTCAGTCAGCGAAGCGTAGGGTAGTCTATACTTCTGTTAAGACCTCACCTCCCCCCCCTTCCATGCCATACCTGGGCGTTCTCTGCCATTGGAATCGGCCACGCATTAAACACGAGCGCGTCTCGAGTTCATGTCTTATCTACAGCTTGAGGTTTTGTTGTTCCTGTAGTTGTTGTTGTTGTTGTCGCTGCTCGAATTCCACCTGCTTTGGCAGCGCCCAGCACCAGCGCCAGAGCGAGCGCCATTTTTGAATTTCGTTTTCTGGACGAATGCGTCTAATATGAATTAACAAAAAAATTTCAAATTTAATGCTCTTTGTTAGGTTTTGTTTTAGAGTTTGTTGTGTTTCTTTTTTCCAAATTTTATTTTTTGTTGTTAGCTCTTTTTTTTTTTGGCTAATTAGCGTGGCGCTCATGGGAAACACATGGGAAATGCTCGCTTAGTTGTAGGTTATATATTGTATATAGTGGCTGCTTGTCTATAAACTGTTCGCCCTCCTCAAGCGTCCCCCTCCCCGTCCGCGTCCGCGTCCGCGTCCGCTCACCCGCAGCCGCATATGAACTGAATTTCTTTTGAAGCATATATAATGCAGACCTAATGCCAGCGTCGACATCTGCGTATATAGTATATTTGTTATACTAGATGGTTTGGTTGTTGTTAATGTATTGTTTTTCTTTTTGCATAAATTAAATATTTTTCGGTTTTCAGTAGCGTTACCATTTGTACGAGCTAGACATTGCACAGAGATAGTGGACATTGTGAAGACCCTACAAACGATCAAGTCCGCTAATATAATGAAAATGTCTCTATTACAGTAAAAGCTAGTGCTACCAATCCAGATGATACCAACATGTCCCCTTTTTTCATTCAATTGATAACTTACTTATTTCTGAAGTTATTCTAAGCATCACGTCTGGGCTTATAATTATAATTATAGCAAAAAGTTCCGGTGAAAAAAATTGTATATATTTATGATTATTGTATGGCTATGGCTTTTTGGAGAATGTTCTCCTTTTTTAGTTTTAAAATTGAAGACCTATATTAATAAATTAATGAAGGAATACAAATAACTTTAAGCGATTGATGGATTTCTATGGCGATTTAAACAACATTTCAGTATAAAAAAGAGCTTGACATTTTCTTTCTGGGGCTAAAATATAACTTAAAATATCTAAGGCTGCAAGGAACTAAGTTTCAGAAGGGATTCCGCTTTCCTGCCTATAGGTTTTCGACCAATTAGGAAACAGAAAAGTAATCAGAAACTATAATAGAAACTATAATTGTCACTGAAATAAATCTATTCTTAGATTGTAATTTGTAATAAATAAACAGATGCTTAAATGAATTATTATGCAACTAAATAAGAACAGATCTAAAATAATTTCTAAATAATATTAAACTTCTATTACTTTTAATGTACTGCCTCAGATGTCGCTCATAAGGTCGCATATGCCCATCTTGTAGGTGTAGGGCAGACACAAAAGTTATAAAAGCGTACATTCGACTATTACTATGCGTATGTACAAGTACATACATAAATATGCACATACACACATTCATGGCATATTGTTTAAAGCTTTAGTCAGAGATTCACACTATATAAAAATTAGTAGTGTTAGTCTTTGTTTTTATTGTTGTTGTCTATGTTTCTGGGTTCAATGACTAATTTATGAAAGTTGGCCTGACTTGACTTTTGGGCTCAGCTAGCCGGAAACTCATGAACATTCAAACAAACCGAGGAAAACCAGTGCTCTACAAAATCTGTTATTTGGAAGAGTCTACGTCGGCAACGGCATGGATCATACAAACATAAATATTCATATAATTGAGGGTGTAAGTTCACAGGCAAATAGCAAAATCCGATTCTGATAAAGTGGCTGTACTTAGGTATAAATAGAAATAGGTGCCGATGCCGCAATATTGGAAACATTTCTGGCGGAACTTTGAGGGATTTTCAGGGATGTTCGAGCAAGTGCAGGAAACCGCAAGGAAACAACTGAATGGCAGGTTTCCAGGAAGCAATACCCCCGTAAACCATTTCATATTTACATGTGAAATTTAACGGCGGCAGCGGTGGCGGCCTTAATTTGTGGTGCGGGTACTGGTGGTTGCCTGTGGCTAACCAGAGCTCTAGCACTTGTTAGCAAACAAAGCACAAGTGCGAGCCGGCAGACCGACAAAGAGGCACCGCAGGATCAGGCTAGGGTACACAACGGACTGGGCGTGTGCGGCCGACAAAGTAGATGATCAGGAAGTGCTCC